AGCTGGCCCCCAAATATCACTATGGATCAAGTTAAAGGGTTGAGATAGCTTGTGAGGTTTACTTTTATAGGATGCTCTTGTGTGTTTGGCTAATTGACAAATTTCACAAGTAAAATGAAAGGAGCTTTTATTGAATTGAGGAAAAAGTTTGAACATATAATTGAAATTGGGATGGCCTAACCTATAATGCCACAATAATAGGTCTTTATTAGACAGAACACTAGTGAAAGCAGAAATGATCTTTGTGCTGGATAGAGCATAGTTCTTTTGTTTGGTGGTTTCCAAGCAATAGAGACCTTCTAGGATCTTAGCTGTGCCAATCGTCTCCTTCCACTCCAGATCCTGAAAAACACAAACAGTAGCAGAAAAATACACATTACATTTCTGGCTTTCAGTTATAGTTCGAACAGAGAGGAGACTACAATTTAAATCAGGAGCATAGAAAACATTATACAGGATCAATTTTTCATTTATGTATGCTGTCCCAAAACCTATTACTTTGACAGTTTTCCCATCGGCCACACTGATGTGAATATTCAATGTACAAGGTCTTATATCAGTCAATAAGGCTGCATCACCAGTCATGTGGTCTGTTGCTCCTGAATCTACAATCCATAAGTCCTGACGATGTACATCAGTTTTTAAAGCTAGGATTGTTTTACCTGTGTGAGCAATGTATCCTGATGATATAGACTTCCCTTTAAATTCATGTTTCTCCAGTATTCTCTTGAGTAGTTCAACTTCCTCTCTATTCAATTCAGTTGCTGGTTCAGGAGTACTTTCAACAGTTCCAGTGTAACCTTTGTTCTCCTGCTTCCCTCCTTTTTTAGGTTTACCGTGCAGTTTCCAGCATACCTCTCGTGTATGGCCTTTCTTTTTGCAATGATCACACCACCTTCCTGATTTAGGTTTGTCCTCCTCTTTGGAGGTGTCACGTGAGAAGAGAGCATTAGGTTGAGATTCTGCCAGGTTTATGCCTTCATTTATGGTGAGTTTCTTTCTGGATTCTTCACTCCTTACCATGAAGAATACTTCTCTCAAAGGGGGCAGATTTTCCAGACTCATAATTCTGCCTCTTACATCCTCGAATGCTACATCCAGACCTAAGAGGAACTTAAAAATCCTCTTTTCTTCTTTTATTTTTTCATATAGGGCAGCATCCCCTGAACACTTCCACTCATAGGTGTCATACATGTCAAGCTGTTGCCACTTAACAAACAAGTTAGTGTAATATTGGGTTACAGAAAGATTACCCTTCTTAAAATTGTGAAGAAAACTTTCAAGTTCCAGAATTGCAGATTTGTTTTTGAGGGAAGTGAACATATCTTTTGCTGCTTCCCACACCTCCTGAGCCGTTTGGAAGAAGGAAAAATGACAACTAATTTATGTAGTCATTGAATTGATTAGCCATGCCTGAACCATGGAGTTTTCGGCTTCCCATGCTGCATATTTCTGGTCTGTTACTTCTGGTTTCTTCATGGAACCCGTGAGATAGCCAAATTTTCCCTTTCCCATTATAAACAAGCGTACACTTGCAGCCCACTGGATGTAGTTTTGTCCATTGAGTCTATGAATAGTAATAGACACAGGGCTTGCTTCTGTCGCAGGTTGAGTTGCTGAGGGCGCCGAGGTTGCTGCTGCTAACCCTAGAGGATTAGTCATTGACTGCTGCATTTCATCAGCTTCTTGTATTGAGCCGAAAATGACCATGGCTCTGATACCATGTGGGTTTGTGAATAATAATTCTTATTGATCTCATCAGAATGGTACAGTGGAATAAATAGGAAAAACCTGAATACATGAGAGGGTAGAGAGAGAAGAATCTAGAGAGATCCTAGCCGAAATAGTAGGAGAATCAGAAATCAAAATTCAAAATATACTAAATCCCTAAATAAGCTCTCTAATTGCAACAGACTAGATAACTAGGTTAACTAGGTCTAAACCTAGGGTTAAGTCTAGGGTTTTGGGCCCAAAGCCCATTAGAGTTCGGCGCTAACAATATATTATTTAAAACTATGTTTATTTTGTATATTACAACTCATGATCAATGTCTCTCATTAATTATTCTTACTTACCTTTTTCCATTTCCTCTTCTTTTTGTCTTATAACGTCACATATTGAGTTATTCTTTGTGTGAAACCTCCACTACTATAAAAGATGTCAATTTTCATCTGTTTTTTTAAAACAGAGAAAAAAAAAGTCACTATACTCATCTGTTATGACAGAACAGACGAATATGTAACATATATTCTTCTGTTATGCCTTAACAGACGAGTATGTAACAGACGGGTATGTACATACATACTCGTCTGTTAAGGCGTAACAGATGAATATGCAGATATATACTTGTTTGTTAGGTAACAGACAAAAATTTTTTTACTTTAAATTTGAATTTTTAGAACACAGCACCATTTGTTCATCAGATCAGAACGAACCCTAGCAGCAGGTTCTCTTTTTCTCCTCTTCTCCTTTGCCACAAGCTTCCTCTTCTCCCTCTTCCTCTCTTTTCATGCGACAACTAGCATTCTTTTATCTTCTCCTTCTTGGTCAACGATAGCTCCTCTTCTTTTCTCTTTCTTGGCGATGCAACATCTCAACAACACAATGAACTCCATGGCTAGCTTCTCTTTTTGATGGTGGATAGCTCCTCCTTTCTTCTCGTGTCCTTGACAACACTATCTTCTTCTTTTTCCATGACTTTTACTTTGTAAGAAGCAAGATAAGTTATGTGGTTTGGTGTTGAATGTTTTGGTTGTGTGAGACTATTATATAGGTGTTGAAAGTGATTGTTTCGGTATTTTGGTGGTGAAAATTTTCTATTTAAATTGATTGTTGGTGAATAATAGCTTTTGGAAAGCAGTGATAGTGATTGAGAAAGTATATTAAAATTAAAAGCTTATTAAACTTGTTTAAATATTAATGCACATAAAGTGTTTGTGAAAACGTCCAGGAGAGAAATTTTGTTGGAATATGATAGTTAATTAAGTATCCTCAATATTTAATTTCCATGTTAAATTTTAGAAAGGTATGAGATCCTAAAAGTTAAAGTATCTATTTAAATAGGTTAGGATGTGATTAGATTTTCTAGTTTTAAACTTTCTTGTGTTATATGACTGAGTTAAGGTGTTTAATTTTTTTTTCCTTAACTAAGCTAATTTAGATGTTATTATTGTCATTTACTTTGACCCTTAAAATTGTGATTTGTATGGAAAGTATAACATGACTTGGTTCTGCTGAATTGTTGTCATTGTTACTTTATTTTGGTTTTGCTTCATACGCTTTAAAATTATAGGTTATAGTAAAAACTAACAATATAAATAATTTCACTTTTTTTAAAAAAGAAGATACTATATTCGCTTGTTTTGACCAGAACAGACAAATATGTGCTTGCATATTCGTCTGCTAGAACAGACAAATATGTGCCTTACATATTCGTTTATTAGAAACAGACAAATATATAACTTCTATCTACGTTTCTTTTGTCTATGTCCCTTTTTAAACAAACAAAAAAGGGCTTTCAAAGCGGATGAAAATGGATTTTTTTAGTAGTGCTCATAATATAAGAGTCATATACTTAAAGTTTAATAATCATAATTCAAGTATTAATAATGTAGAAACTTACCTTAATTTCGTGATAAATAACTTAGGAAAATCCGTTGGATTTGGTTTGGCTTGGCCAAGGCCATACGTAGGAGCAATTTTTTTCACTTTTAGAATTACAAAATCACTGCTCACCATATACAAGGTAGTAAGCACTGAAAATTTCAAACTCAACGACAAATTATTTAACTTAACTAACCATAATATCTTATTACCAAAATTCCATTATTTACTTGTCTTTGTAACCATATTGTACAAAGTCTTCGTATCCGACTTTTGAGTCATCTCTCTCTCTCTCTCTCTCTCTCTCTATATATATATATATATATATATTTATATGCGTACGCACACGATTATTTATGTATGTGTAAATGTTGACTTTTTTTTTTGGTAGTTTCTATAGATCTATGCATTTAAATATTAAACCCCATAAATTGCATGTTAGACTATTTTATTCTAATTAATTATTAAATATTAATTTAATACCCCGACTGAACTTTGAATTTTTAATAACTTCCTCTCTGGCGTGCTATCTTTTTCCCAGGTTTGCTCTACGAATGGTATCCAACTAAGACATTTCATTATTTTTTCTCTCGCAATTATCAAACCAAAATATCACTTTTTCTCTATTTACATGAGATAGGCAAACATTAATTTGTAGTAATTTGTAAATAACCTATGGAGAGAGATCCGCAAGTTGCTGATTTGTAAATAATTTAATATTTTTTAGTACTAAATGTAAAATTTAAATAACTAATTTATAAATATTTAAAAAATTAACTAAAGAAAAAATGACCCAAAAAAACCTAGAAATTACATAATCTCAACTAAGGAATTCATATATAAAAATATATTGTTATTTTCAAGTTAAGTTTAGCTAAAACCTATCAGAGTGTAGAAAACAAACTTGATTTAAAATTTAGTAAACTTTTCCTTCCCTTTTTGTTATTTTTTCTTAATTAAAAAAAGTATTTATAAAAAATGTGTGCTGTTATTACTGACTCCTTAATAAGCGCAAAACAAGTTATAAAAAATTTAGAAGAAAGAATAGATTGGGTTGTGCAAGGCAAAATAAACTCCTCTTTCTCCTCCACTTTTAAGACGAACAGGAGCATTCAAAGAAGTACAGGTCAAAAAGTGTTCAAAGAAGTAAATATCATGTTTTGATCAAAATTAAATCATAATTTATTTTAAAAGTAATTTTTGGGTTTCATCTCACTTTACGTGAAAGTGCGGAAACCAAACACTCTCTTAGCTTTCTTCTGAAGTCCTTTCCTTCCACGCGTAAATAAGTCGCTTTCAGGGACCTTTCCTTCGGAGCATAAATGGGTCCTTATAGATCAAAGTTTCTAACAAGTGCCTGACCATAAACATCGATTCCAATCTTTCAATTTTCCCACTTCCCTGTTCTTCTCCATCACCGAATTCTTAGAAGACCCACAAGTATGTCTCAGCAGCTTCAAGAGCAAGTTTTGTGTCCCATTGATCCTTACCAGTATCTTCAGATTACCAGAAACCCAGACGGCTCCATCACCCGTCTCGCCTCTTTTCCGACCACCGTAGCCACGCCGGATGCCGACACTCCATCTCGCGTTCTTTCCAAAGACCTTCCTCTTAACCCCAACAACGCCACCTTCCTCCGACTATACCTCCCTCACAAACTAATCTCTTCTTCTTCTTCTTCCAAATTACCTGTAATTGTGTACTTTCACGGCGGTGGATTTGTATTACTCAGTGCTTCTTCCTCTATAAACCATGACTTCTGTTCCGAAATGGCTACCAAACTCTCTGCCGTTATCGTCTCCGTTGAGTACCGTCTTGCTCCTGAAGCCCGGCTTCCGGCGGCCTACGACGATGCCGTGGAGGCTTTACATTGGTTGAAAGCCACCGATGAGAAATGGATACGTGAATTTTCCGACGTCTCTAGCTGCTACCTCATGGGCACTAGCGCCGGGGGCAACATGGCTTACCACGTAGGATTAAATGTAGCAGCAGCCGTTGATGAATTTGGACCCTTGAAGATCAAAGGGTTGATATTGCACCATCCATATTTTGGTGGGTCCCAGAGGACTGAGTCAGAGGTGAGGCTAGCCAATAACCCGACTCTGCCGCTTAGTGCGAATGATCTGATGTGGGAGCTCGCTCTGCCGCCAGGTGCGGACAGAGATCACGAGTATTGCAATCCAATGGAGATGCATGATTTGAGGACGCGCTTGGATGAAATCGGACGGTTGGGATGGGAGGTGATATTACCGGCATGTGATGGTGATCCAGTGATTGACAGACAGGTGGAGTTAGTAAATATAATGCGAAGTAGAGGAGTGAAAGTGGTGGACCACGTTGGGGCAGGCCATCATGGAATGGATCTACTTGAGCTAAGCAAAGCTGGCCCACTCTTCAACCTCGTTAAAGATTTCGTACACCCCTCCTGAAATTTGTTTCCATCAGCCAAAATATCTCTAACTATGAGATTTGCATATTTGAAAAGTATTTTTGTGTCATTTTTCCTTTTTAGCTTCCTTCCATTCTGGCGCCCAAAATAGATCAACAGCATATAGTCAATAATGGCACGCCCAGCCTAATATACTGTGTTGTTATTATTTTTATTTTGGGAACAACAGTGAGTTGTGTTAGTCAAGTGATAAAGAAAAAAAAAAGAGAGGTAAAAATTGTGTTAGTAATGGAATATTGTGCATTAGACTGAATTTGATATTAAATTTTTGGTTTATTTGAATGTTGTTTCTATCTAAGCGAGTTTTTTTCTTCTATTTTCTAACCCCAGACAAGGGAGAGAAATGTAATATCAGAAGCTTCATTTACAGGTAACAAACTTTTCAGTTAAATTAATTTCCCTCATTTTTTCAGAGAGCGTTTCTATCAGGAAAATTGGAGGGAAATGATCATTTTGTTTCTTTTTCTTTTGAGAGAAAGAATATATGTGGAAGAAACCAAAAGAAGAAGATTTAAGATTTTCTTTGGAATTTATTATTTAAGAGAAATTTTCTATTGACCTTTTCCGAGAGAAGCTTTCTCTCATCTTTTTCTCCTGTGAGATATGTAAATAAATGTGAGAGAACTCTTGATACAATAATATTTTGAGAAAAATCACTGTGAGGTCTAAAAATAGAGTATAATTACCAAAAAAAGATCTTTTCTGTTGTTATTTTATGCGTACTGTGTGACTTGTTCTTCACTTGTTATATGACTTTTTTGGTAATAATATATTTTTTTCTTTGGAACGTAGAGTAATTTTTCCTATTATTTTCATCAATTGATTGTGAGAAAAAAAATTTCCAGAATTTGAAAGTTACGAAAAAGTTTGGCCCTTATATCACTACAAAAAAACTGGACTTCCTAGTCGCCGCTGAAAGATTTTTTACATTTCTTTATCATTTTTGATTTTTTTGTAAAAAGTTTATATTATAATCTTTTATTTGTGTAATTAAGTAACTTTGATAATTATTATTTTTTATGTATTATTGTATTAGAGAGAGACTAAAAAAAAGATAATGTAGTGTTTGAGTGAGAAACGGAGAGAGAAAGGGAGAGGAAGAAAGTCTGAAGTGTGTATAAAACAAATATATACTATAATTAAATGTTTGAGAGATGGAATAAATAATCATTGTGCATGGGAGAGAAATGAGGCGAAGGCATGCATGAGAAAGTATATAAATTTGAATGATGGTGTAACATCACCACTTACTAACTAGAAATAACCATGATAAAAAGGACTAAAACTAGTAAACATACCCTATCATGGTTATTTAAGAGCAATCATATCACTAAGGGGCTAACCATGATAGAAAAGCATTTGACCTTAATTAAGGCTATTATGGTTAAAAAAAGAATAACCTATATTTGTAATCATGGCAAACATGGTTATAAAACAATACGCCTCTGAATGATAAATCATAATAGCAGTTTAGATTTAACTATATTAGTCAATACTAGCAACAGCTAAACTTGCAAAAATTGTCATTATCACATCGTGTATCCACAATAATTCAATCACATGCAATCTAAGGGCCTCGGGCCCACTACCAGCACTCTAGTCGAATGTTCAGACAAAATAAACGAAAAATAGAAGGTATAATACGTTCACTAAGTCAAATGACATAAAAATATAAGAAGATAAAATAAGTCCCAAATGAATGCAGTCCTGATGCATGGCAATATACGAAAAGATTGCATAAAATAAGGTCTAAAAGCTCTACACTGTCAGCTATAGCTATTGAGCTTCAGGAGTCTTCCCTCAAGGTCCCGCTAACGTATTGTTTCCTGAAAATGGTAAAGCAACAGGAGTGAGACAACGTCTTAGTAACTAACTCCTTACCTATCACACACCCTAGCATGGGCTAGCGAGGTGCAGGTGGAATACACAGAGTTAATAATAGTTGATAAACATTTATTTAACATTTAAACTCACAATAATCATATAAGACAAATATTTCCACCAATCTCATGCAATTGATACATTTCAAAAGAGATAACATACTTGTCATTTATTTAAAAGGTATAAATATCAATGAATATTCCATGTCATATGTAATTCCTGAACCCAAATCCATCCTTATATCCTCCTTATTTTCGCCGACTGGACCCATGGGCTAAGTTCTTTCCATTTGACTGGTAACTTTGACAAGCTTACCACACGAATGATGTGGATCGGCCAAAGACCACAGAGCACTCGGTGGACCATGGGTCCCCGCTCGAAGAACTAGTGAGGTGTCACAGTCCCTCGAAGAACTAGTGGGACAATAATAGCAGCCAACTATAGAACTCCGTATGGAGGCTAATACCACGTGGCAAGTATATGAATCTCAATAACTCCAATTATCTCCTTTTTCCACCCAAAATAGATGTACATGGTTCAAAATGACACATTTATACACATAATCAACGGAATTTCATAATAATACATCATAATCATGATTACCAATTTCTTGCAATACACACTATGTTAATCCTTTTTAAAATAGTATCCCACAAGAAAGTTCATACAAAACGTAATATGCTTTTATAGAATTAGTTATAAAGCCGCTCACCAACTTCAGATTAGAGCATGCAACAGATAGAAATTTAGTTACTTAGTCTCCTAGTTAACAGTCAACTACAACCAAAGTCCAACCTAAAAAATGCCACAATAGAGTTTATATCTACAAACAAAATTAAAATATTATCTCTATAGTATTCGAGTAGGCTACTCACAAAATTCTAGCCTCTAACTCCTCCTCTAAGAGCTTTAATTTTTACTCAGAATTCTAGTCTAAAAGACATTTCTATAAGGTTTGGAATGAGAACATATATATATGATTTAGACTCGATTCCTAAATTTTCCTTACTTAAATATCCTTTAATTATTAGATTATATTATTAGAATAATCAAATTCATAATGTAAATAGACAAACTGTAAATTTATAACTTATATTCCACCTTTGAAGGACTTAGACAAATGGACTTAGTACGAACTAAGTTATTCTCACTACAGATGTTAAACACTTAATCTAGCCGTTGAATTTAATTTCCTATCTATCATGATACTATCCTCCAAATTATAGCTCAATCTAACGGTGAATGAACTTTAAAATGCTAATTTACTATTCAGGACTCTATCTACTAAATCTAAAAGATATAAGTTAAAAATGTACCTCATAACTTGTAACTCGGAGATTAAAATGATGATCCAACCGTTGAAATTAATGATTTGGATGTCCCAAATGGGCTGACCAAATTTCAATCCGATCCAACGGTTAATAAAATCAAAACTAGCACTTTTCTAAGACTACATCAGATATATGCGAAAATTATTTACTCACTTTAAGCTCCACTTACTATCTCTTAAATATAAGCTCCTCAAACTCCTTAACTTTAAAGATTATTCGATGTGGAACTTCTATACCATAGTATAATTTTCTAGAATATCATCCACACACACACTTACACACAAAAACATTATTAAAATAATAATAATAATTATTTGCCTATATCTAACTTTTTTAATTAACTTAATACTAAAATATATTTATTTATAAATTTAATTAAATACTAGATAAAAATAAGGATGTTACGGATGGGGAAAGTAGTGAAGGATAGAGTATGTATGAAAGGTAGATGTATTCAACATGCTTAGAAATGAGACAATAATATATCTATATTGTGTTGCTTCTTTAAAAATGAAGATATGAATATTATCTGTCAAAAATCAAATTGTAGACAGAAGCTGTTTTGCTGGGCCAACTAAGACACTCATACCTCGTGAAACTGATTAGATATTGCCGCGAAGAAGATGGAAGCAGAACGTGCAGCAGAGCACACACAACTTGAACAAAGGATGGAGCAATTGATGGAGCAGAGAATACAAGCCCAATTCACTGCTTCAATGCAAAATATGCAATTAAATGCTCTTGCAGATATTCCTACTTCTAGCGTCCCTAGTCTTGGTCTCTTTACGTAATTTTTCTTTTACATTATATAATGTATCTTTTAATTGAACAATTTTTATTTTTATTAAAGACATAAAAACACTTTGATGGTTATAAATCTTATTATTTAATATATTTGTCTGTTAATTACTTTAGTTTTATTAAACCTTATGATCACATTTATTAGGAATATAACTAAACAAAATTTGTATAATTAACATATTAAAATAATTAAACTTTTAGCGGCGATGGGTAATTGGCGGTGACAATTATGTTGTCGCTGCAAATGGTAATAGGTGGCAACACATTGTCACTGTTGATTGTGGTTACAGTGGCGACAATGGCTGTCGCCGCTAAAACAAGCTTCAGTAGCAACATTAGTCGCCGTTGATTCTTACGTTTTAGTGGCGACACTCCATGATAACAAACTCTTCATCTTTTGACGTCGACATTTTCAGCGGCGACTTTGTTATGTCACTGCTGATAAGTTTCAATCATGACTGCTACGGCAATGACCTAGTAGCAATAAAATGTCGCCGTTGAAACTTTTCAACGACGACCTTTGGACTTTCACTGGCGATATTGTAATGTTCATACTAAACCATCCACTTCAATTTTATTCTGCACGAAGTCACATGCCATGTTAGCAAGAGTCAGATTTTTTTTTAATGTAGTACCTCCGATCTTAATAATAAGACTTCATTTATAAACTATAAACGAAGTCTTATAAATAAAACAGAAGGTAGTAGGCACTAAGAAACTAATTGGATATTGTCCTATGATTGATTCTCGTACAAGAACAAAGTCCCCCTATATTTAATTTATTATCTAATTCACCTCACACGTTTCAATGATTTTATCTTCTTGTAGATGCTCAGTGTAGATCTAGAGGCACATGGTGATCATCATGAACAGTATACTGCTAGCTATAGTTTGAATGGTATTTAGAGGCAAGGGATTGGCTGCGCAAAGTTACTCCGATGTCCTTCTCCGTCAACCACCGTCCCCGGAACTCCAACAACCACCATGGATCCCTACCAATCCCTTCACATCATCCTCAATCCAGACGGCACAATAACTCGCTTGGAAAAACACCCCGAATCTCCAGCCTCACCTGATCCCAACCTTTCCCATCCTGTTCTCTCCAAAGATCTCACCATTAATCCTTCTCATAGCACCTGGGCTCGCATCTACCTTCCCCGTCAAGTTCTGAACCACCCTCCTTCTCCCCCCACCAAGCTTCCTCTCATTGTTTTCTTCCACGGCGGCGGCTTCATATTCTACAGCGCAGCCTCCACTTACTTCCACGATGTCTGTGTTAACTTGGCAGAAAACACACAATCTGTCGTTGTTTCCGTCAACTACCGCCTTGCCCCGGAGCACAGGTTGCCGGCGGCTTATGAAGATGCAATGGAGGCGCTGCATTGGATCCGAACCTCCGACGATCCTTGGTTGACATGTTTCGCAGATTTCTCAAACTGTTATCTGATGGGAGGGAGCGCGGGGGGTAACATCGCGTACAACACGTCTCTACGTGCAGCGACGGAGGTGGACCAACTTGAACCGCTGAAGATCCAAGGGCTGATATTGGTTCAACCATTCTTCGGTGGAGTGGAGAGAAATTCTTCAGAGCTGAGGTTAGCCGATGATAAGATGTTGCCTCTGCCCGTCAACGATCTGTTTTGGGAGCTGTCGCTGCCCGTGGGCGTTGACCGTGACCATGGGTACTGCAATCCGACGGGTGAGAGTGGGCGTAAGGGCCTTGATGAAATCGAGCGGTTTAGATGGAAAGTGACTGTGTTTGGGAGTTATGGCGACCCACTGGTGGACCGTGAGATGGAGCTGGTGAAAGCATTAGAAGAAAAAGGAGTAGAAGCGAAGGGTTATTTTGAAGGGGAATATAAGCATGGCGATTTCTCCAAGGAGCCCGCAAAGGCCTTAGCCAAACAGCTATATAAGAGGATCAAGAAAGTCATTACTCAATTAGTGGCTTAATTATAGCATTCTTATTACTACATCTGGCCCTAACTATACGATCTCATTTATAAGTTACAAACAAGATCTTATAATTAGGAGTGAATATAGTATCTTAATTTTGTTGAGTTTTAAGTTAATGTGGAGTTTGTAGTTTGCTTTTTTTTTTTTTTTATAGTCCATGGATCGCCCCATGTCAGAGGGAGCTGAGAGCGGAAGATAGTCTTAATCATGAGAAGATGCATGGATCATGAAGCTGATCATTGATCCTAAGCATAATAAACGAGATTTTTTTGCAAAAGATCAAGACTATTTATCATTGGTTATTTATAATTTTCCTTAATATAATATAGCAACTAGTATAGTTATTTGATCTATAGGTTTAAATATAACACCTCAGCTTCCTTTATCCCATAAATTTATATAATTAATTATTTTTCTAAACTCTCTCTCTCTCTCTTAATTGTATATGTTAAGAGGACTTTCACTTAATGAATGTAAGTGATTATAAAAAGAGTATTTTAGGAAAATCAAAATATATTTATTATAAATAATTAACTTAACTAATTTTTTTAATATGCCTAGATGGGACCAAGAGCATAGAAGAATTAATGGATCCAAATATAAATTACCTACTGTTCCAATTCAATGGCTTTTTATTTTATTTGTTCCTTTTCAGTCAAATTTTTATTCTGCCTTAGCTTTATGTGTGTTCGTTCCTTTTTATTAGACTATCCACTTCGCTTTGGTGGATGATTTTGATCTCGGCAAAGCTCTATGACTTCATAGTTACAATGCAGGTGGAATTCAAGATTATCTAATCTAGCTATGAGATATGTCTCCGATCCTTCACGGCTTTTGTACGGATTTGTTCGTTTTATTGGTGTCAAAACCGTCATTCTCGCTTACATTATACTGGCTTGATGTTGCTTGGGTCATACTGTGCCTCGTTATGAAATTAACTAACAAAGAAAATAGATTAGAGAAGAGATGTAAACAAGAAAATGAGAAAATGATATTGTACTCCTTCACTTGCTTCCTTCACATCACAATACAATGGCATAACATAGTTTTACATATAAGTTACACTATTACTTAAACGATAGATAATGGATAATAAATCACATGAATGTGAAGTAGGGGTGAGGTACAAGATTAAAGGCATAGTGGAGAAGTAATAGAGTAGTGAAAGATTAATACTTAGTGGAAGTAGTGGGAGTTGATGAAGTTGAAGAGGAAGAGGAAATTGACATCCACATTTGATAATATTCATAGCATGCTTTTTATTTTACTCCTTGTTTTTGCTTTTGTTTATGCGTTCTACCATCGGCGTTCTAGTTTTTGCTTTTATTTGCTCGTCCTTCGGGCAGTTTTTATTTCATGTTTTGTTTTTCTTTTTTGGTAAAAAGTCAAATTTATTCAACATACAAGTAAAACGGTTACATAAAAAGATCAATCGGTCATATTAGGTCAATTTGGGCGAAGCGCAAATGAATTAGAAGGGCGGGCCCAGAACATCTAAAACATAAAAATAACAGACAAAGCAACAACCAATAAAATAAAAGCAAACGGCAGAAAAATATAAAGTCTGTTTGGATCCGCGATTAGAAAAATGAAGTTGGGTAAAAGCTAAATTGAATAAGTTAAATTGTGTTTGGGTTGGATCAGAAAAGCTAGTTTGTAAAAGTGAGATTGGTAAAGTTTTGGGATTATGGTTGAGTAAAAGTAAGTTTGGTTGTAAAATGACCAAAATGAGTATGAGTTTTAATAAATAATCAAACATGATTAAAAAAAAGATTTCACATAATACAATGAAATTAAAATAATTTAATGTGAAGAAGTCAAATTTAATGAGTGAATTAAATTTTAAAACTTTAGAGAAATCATAAAAGATAGTTTAAATATAAAGTAAAACATGCAAAAAAAATGAATTGAGATAATACAATAAACTTAAATTAATTTAAGACGAAAAAGTGAAATTAATTGAGTGAATTAAGTTTGAAAACATCATAGAAATGAAAGCAAATATTGCAAATATAAAGCAAAACAAAATAAGCTCTTCTGATATGATCATAAGCTCCCTCTTGTAGCTTATTTCAACCGGGCATTCAAATGACTTAAAAATTAATAAGTCCAATACACTGCAAGCTCTGCCAAACAGACCCAATGTGTCAGCCAAGCTTATTTTTAATTTTAAACCACGTTTCAGCCAGTAATCGCTGACCCAAATAGGCACATAAAGAACAACTGTAGTAACATATCCTACAATATCAACCTCATGATGGGATATCAATAAGAGAGACTCAAACCAAATAAAGTATGAGGTGCATCTCACACCAACTATTAAGCTGCTTCAGAGAGTGCATCTTTAATGCTTTGTTGTATTGATAAGTTTGTAAACTTTTGGACTTGAAATCAACACTACTTCCTCTTCATCAATTTGGGGAAAAAGACTACTAGTTACTTATTTTAATTTCTTGCTATCATAAATTCATAAATTGGACTTATAATTTTTATTGTATTTAGAATCAGACGGTGCAGCGTAATTTTATTCATTTTAATCAAAATATTTTCAAATATTATGTATATAATACAATAAGCAACATGGAACTCCACAATCTCTTTAAAAGGCCTGAAACCCTATATTGGGATGTGAAATACAAGAAAGTCAATCTTTTTACTAATTTTCTGAAGGCGCTTCATCTTTTTCTTACTGCCCACAAATTACATATCATCATATGGCAAGAGTCATTAAAGAAACAAATGTGTTGACCAACTAATATACCAAGCTTAACTTTCTCATTCTCCTCAATATTTTCTTTTGATCCTATTTATAAGTTATTTTTAACAATTTTTTAATTTTATCCCTATGTAATATATATATTTTAAAATAATAACAATCTACATAATAATAAATAAAGGATAAAACAATATATTCACACTAAAAATTTAATGAAGTGACATAGATATAAGATCAAATAAAACCTTCTCTCTATCTTATAACCAGAAGAATATTTATTAAAAGTCTCCCTCAAGATGTAGAGATATTTGAGTAAACGTTTGGAGGTAATTGAATTTCTTTTACCCAGCGCTTGTTGGGGCATCGTGCCAAAAAAAAAAAAAATCTTAGGCAAAGTAATAATAATATATTTCTCCGCTCCTAAATATAAGAGTGAGTTAAATAGTTAGTTGTAAATATAAGACTTTATTTACCGTCCTTGATATATCAAATTTATGTTACGTTAAGGATTAAAAAGGGTATATTACAAGTTATCAGAAACAAGTTAATTACATAGAGCAGTGAACTACTTGAAAAGAAAACTGTTGTATGCGCGTACATGTGATAATTGGATTCGGATTGGTAAGGGAGAATTGACCAAATTAATAATTATTTAGCTCATATATAGTCTATGAAACATATTTTCACATTTTTTAACGAGGATGATTCATGTGGAAAACAATGGGAGACACACACACACACCCACACAGATATATATATATATATATATATATTTATATGTAACACCTGGCTTAAAGACAGATCCCAGCATCAACGATCAACCCATTGTGTGATTGGTCATTTGGTTGAAATATTGATTTAAAATTGTCTATGTTTTTGGGAACTCAATCAAAATTCTCTAATTCATCACCATATACTCCTTTATATCCTTAACATAAGAACTAGTTGAGAGTTGAATTTAATCCTAGATATAAAATCTTAACCTATTTTATCTCCCAAATTTATAATCTTTTGCCAAATATTCTTATTAATTCTACATAAGGTTCCCGCTAGAAAATAGTTTCAAAGTGTATGATTAAAAAGAATAGTTTAAAAAAATAACACACATTCATTTTAAATAACTAATTGAACTAATTAAATTTTTTAGTATTCCCAAACTAATTATTACAGCCGGTCTTAATTATAATATATTCCTCCGGTCTTTAATATAAAACCCATTTAACTAATTTGATTAAATTAAGGAAGTTAGGTAAATTAGTTAATTATAAGAAATGTGACACGTTTTTCCTAAAACACCATAATCATCTTTCTTAATACCCTATCTCCCCCTTCTACTTGATTATGGTTGAAGGAGTATTCATAGGGGTAATTTAGATAACATTGATAAATATGAGAAATGGATCTTATATTTAGGACCAAAACCAACTCAACAATTGGGTCCTATATTAAGAACTGGAGGAATACTATTTATTTATAGATTGTAAATAATATCTTATAATTAGTACGGGAGGTAGTGCTAGCTTTTATGTGAATACAACTACTGAACTTTTCAGACAAGATCAGTCTCATGTGATGCGTCCAAAGCATCCGGTCATGTGCACATACGTGAGACAGAATACTAAGAAAAACAAATTGATATAATTATATTCCTTAATTTTCGCATCAAAAAAGAAAACTCCTTCCATGTTTCCTGCATTAAATCATGTGCAACATCAATATATAATTGCTCTTCGTATGTTGCCCTTTGACCCACTGTGTTTTCGCTCATGTCACTCATCGTCTTCTCTCTCCTGTTTCTCTCCCCCGCATATTCCACCGCCATGGATCCCTACAAGTTCCTTCACATCATCCTCAATCCAGACGGCACCCTCACTCGCCTGGAAAAACACCCTGAATCTCCCGCCTCACCTGATCCCAACTCTCACCTTCCTGTTCTTTCCAAAGATCTCACCATTAGTCCTTCTCTTAACACCTGGGCTCGCATCTACCTTCCTCGTCAAGCTCTGAACCATCCTCATCAGTCTTCCTCTTCCCTCACAAAGCTACCCCTCATTGTTTACTTCCATGGCGGCGGCTTCCTGTTCTACAGAGCAAACTCCACTTACTTCCACGACTTCTGTGTTAACATGGTGGAAAACACCCAATCGGTCGTTGTTTCAGTGAACTACCGCCGTGCTCCGGAGCACAGGCTGCCGGCGGCTTATGACGATGCTTTGGAAGCGTTGCACTGGATCCGAACTTCCGAGGATCAGTGGTTGACACGTTTTGCCGATCATTCCAACTGCTATCTGATGGGAGAGAGCGCAGGGGGTAACATCGCCTACAATTCGGGTCTACGTGCAGCTGAGGAGGTGGATCAACTTGAACCGTTGAAGATCAAAGGGCTGATATTGGTCCAACCATTCTTCGGTGGAGTGAAGAGAACTCCTTCAGAGCTGAGGCTAGCCAATGATACGATGTTGCCTGTGCCCGTCACCGATCTGTTCTGGGAGCTATCGCTGCCCGTGGGCGTTGATCGTGATCATGAGTATTGCAATCCGATGGCTGAGAGTGGGTGTAAAGGAATTGATGAAATCGACCGGCTTGGATGGAAAGTGATTATGTTTGGGAGTTACGGGGACCCACTGGTGGACCGTGAGATGGAGCTGGTGAAAGCGTTGGAAGAAAAGGGAGTAGAAGCGAAGCGTTATTTTGAAGGGGAATATAAGCATGCCGATTTCTCCAAGGAGCCTACAAAGGCCTTAGCTAAGCAGCTATATGAGAGGATTAAGAAATTCATTACTCCATATTAGTGGCTTAATTAGCATTCATATTATTTTAAGTCAATGGTGGGAGTTCGTTGTTTGTTTTTGAAGCATGGAATAATCACAAGACAGAATGAGATTTTGATAATCTTAAATTCTTAATTAAGCAGAGTAAAAGAGCTGTTTTGAAAAGATAACTATCGTTGGTTATTTATTACTCTTCCAGTCAATTGTCGAGTTGATGTTAGATCTGAAATATAAGAGTTATTTTTTATGTTTATTAATTTTTTAAAATTACTTCTGTTAATATTCTTTTAATCATAATCAAGTAGGAGATGAATAGATGATATTGTTGTAAAAAGTAAGGGGTCTTGTGAATAGTTGTGTTAAACTCAAGTGTCCTTTTGTAGTTTATGTTTTGCTGTGTTTCTTGTTGTGTTTCTTGTCGTATGGCTCTGTACAACTTGGGCCTGTAACCTATAAATAATTGTAGGGCCATTGCGTGTGGGTTTGCATTCAGTGGATGTACATTGCCTTGTATCATTTTTCTCCTGTTCATGAAAGATTCCCTTTATCTCATACGGTGCGTTTAGGGGTTGGATATTGGGGTGTTCAGTCAACATGGTATCACAGAGCCAGGTTCATCTCTTTCTTTGAAACAATCCAGGATCAAAGCCCATTCCACTTGTAGCATGAAGAAACCTTAATGGGAGAAGAGAAGGCAACCCCAGAGGCGTTGCCATTCTCCCACCTGCTGTTTCTGCATCCATCGAACACACAAAGGACCTTGATTGTGCATCATGTGCTCACAGGGATTGAGAATTATACAGTCTGAAGTAGAGGTATGAAGATCGTACTGTTGGGGTAGAACAAAGTAGGGTTCGTTGATGGGACCTGCAAAAAGTAGGATCAAGACCAATCTTTGCGTGACCAGTGGGAACAATTGTGATTGTTCTCTCGTGGATTCTTAAACTCCATATCAAAGGATCTTGCTAATGGAGTCTTCTTCTTTCAAAATGCGCATGCAATGTGGGTCGACCTAAAGGAGAGGTTCAACAAGAAGAATGGGGCTCAAATCTTTGCCCTGCATTGCAAAATAAACTCTCTCAGGCAAGGATCCCCTTTTGTATCTATGTACTACTCCAAACTCAAGAAGCTTTGGGAGGAATAGTCAGCAGTCATCACTCTTCCCTCCTGTACTTGTGTGACTTCTCAGTCTTATGCTAAGATGATGTAAGAACAAAAACTCTTCCAATTTCTGTTGGGATTAAACAAATCATATTCTCAAGCCAGAAGTCAGATTCTCTTAATGAATCCTCTGCTGATCGTAAATGAAGTGCATTCAATGATTGTTCAAAATGAGGCACAAATCCATTTTTGGGCTACAAAGGAACTCACCAGCTGAAGGGATAGCCATGGTCGCAAGAGGACATGGATGAGGCAGAGGCGGGGGGCGTGGAGAAAGCAACTTGGAGTGCACTTATTACCATAAAAGAGGACATGGAGTGCACTCATAGAAAGGCAATCAACCTCAATTAAGACTATTATGGTTTCATTAATTCTCTTCATCATGTCTAGTATTCTCTTAGTCTATAATATAAAATGTTGGTTAAGTTTCCTAACAAAGTTTTGGTTAAGTCATTAAATGTGTTTCAAATTGATATAAGTTACCTATTTTACCCCTATTAAAGAGTGTGATTGAAACATTTTCTCATTTCTCTACTGCATTATTTAAAAACTCTCTCTACTCTTTTTGTAACAAAGGGTAAAAATGAAAAACTATGATTAATTATCTTGTCAACTTTTTATATTTTGAATTAAAATTTTCTTCTACGAGATTTCTTATATTATGTAGTAGAGGGAGTATTATATTGTTTTTAATAAAATGCCCTATTATTAATGTTTAAACCTTTTTCCTACTTGAATGGTGGTCATTTAGTACTCCTATTCCCAATGGCTAAAGCGGGGTGTATTGAAAACCTCTATTAAATGCACCTTATCTATATCGATAAAATGTTCACCATTTTGCGTCAAGGATTGCTAGTTCCATTATATTCTTCGGATTTTAAGGCATAATTAACTAATTTGAGTATATTAAGAATATTAATTACATTAGTTAATATGATTCTAAGCATCATTCTTAATTTTCTCACTCTCTCTCCTACTTGATTATTATTGGAGAATATTAATAGGGTTAATTCGAAAAAAATTGGTAAACATATGAAATAAGTTTTACATATAGGATTAACATTAGCTTTCCAATTAAGTTTTATATTAAAGACTGGAAAAGTATCATAATCCAACCTGATCTCCAAGGTTGCGGTCCATTTAGGGTTGAAAATAGGCTAGGCCAAGCCTATTTTGTAGCAAGTCTGGTCGGCTTGTGGCCTGTTATAAGCTTATCCTTCACCCTAAATCTGGTCTATATAAAAGCTTGGCTTAGCTCAAAGCTTGTTAAAGACTTGCATTTTTAAAAATTTTAAATTACATATTAAAAATACACATACTAATAATGAAAAAGCAAAGATGCCTACTACATAATAATTATTTTTTTAGCCTTATCTTTGATTTAAATTTTAATGTCATAGGTACCATTTTAAATCTTAATATAGTTAATAAGAATATTATCAAAACTAATTGTAATTGTATGTTTAAAATTTGGAACAAGACTACATTTAAGTATAAGATGAAAATCAAAATTAAAAAAAATAAATAGGGAGAAAAATTATTAATTTTACAATAAATAAAGAGGGTATCATAATTTGATTAGCATAACACAAATATTAATTAATTTATCACTCTTAGAACAAAATTTTTTCTTCCTACTTAATCTATATTTTTAAAATTTAAAGATCATGTTATTTATTGACAGTATTATTTTAAATTATGTTTTTATCTTCACTTATCAACTAAACTTTAAAATCCAAAAAAGTATTAACTATGTATTAAAAAAATAAAAGAGCAAATTAACTATAATAGTATTAATTAATTTTTTAAATATTATTATAATAATTAATTTGGGAGAATTACAATTAAGTTCGAAGAAAGAGAAATAATTACTAAAAATTCCTAATAACAATTTGAGCAGTCAGTAATGACAAGTTCTAGAGTAGAGAATACAACCTCTATGACTTATTTTGTAATTTTTTCTTCTTCTTTAGAATCTCATTGTAATTCTTCCTATAAATTTACAATAGGCTTATGTCGGCCTAACAGTTTTAACAGGCTTCTTAAAGAGTCTAAACCTGACCTGTTAAGCTAAACAGACCTTCAAACAAGTATAGGTCCCCCCCAAAAAAAAAAACAGTTTATGCCAGATGTAGATGAAGTCACAAGCATCTAATAAGAAATTGGGCAACCAATTTCATGCCAACTTTAATTGCCAAATTTTTCCCAAAAAGAAAGATAAGAGACGACAATGACCACAAAGCTTCCTCATCAGCAATATTACCTCCACCATGTAACACCGCATTCCTAACTTCTCATATGCTATACACGATTACAATGTAATCCATCAAAACATCATTACGTGCAAGCCATCTCTTGAACAAAAATTCTCTAATTCACTAGTTATATAATGGCAGAGCCAGGCTGTCGAACAGTATAGTTTCATTCAAAAATGAAACTGTCTCATTTAATGTTTTCACTTGTTACATACTATAGCTTTTTTTTTTTTGGTATCAAAAAAGAAAATTCCTCCCATGATGTCTTTTGAGTACAGAAGATCAATATGTAATTCTTCTTCATATACATGTTGCCCTCTGAGAAGACTGAAACCAGTAAAACACTCAGTTCAGTCCCAAAAATTACTCTCTGGTTTCTCTCCGTAGCATATTCGGCCGCCATGGATCCTTACAAATTTCTTCAAATCATCCTCAATCCAGATGGTACCCTCACTGGCTTGGAAAAATATCTTCAATCTCCTGCCTCACCTGATCCCCACCCTCACCTTCCTGTTCTCTCCAAAGATCTGACCATCAATCCTTCACTTAACACATGGGCTCGCATCTACCTTCCCCGTCAAGTACTGAACCATCCCCCATCTTCCCCCACCAAGTTTCCTCTCATTGTTTTCTTCCATGGCGGCGGCTTCATCTTGTACAGCTCGAACAACGCTTATTTTCAGGACTTCTGTGTTCACTTGATTCAAAGCACCCAATCCATTGTCATTTCAGTGACCTACCGCCTCGCTCCGGAGCATAGGCTGCCGGCGGCTTACGATGACGCTTTGGAACCGTTGCACTGGATCCGAACCTCTGCGGAACAGTGGTTAACACGTTTCGCTGATCATTCCAACTGCTATCTGACAGGAGAGAGTGCAGGGGGTAATATCGCTTACAATGCGGGTCTTCCTGTGGCCGCGGAAGTGGATCAACTTGAACCAGTGAAGATCAAAGGGCTGATATTAATTCAACCAGCCTTCGGTGGAGTGAAAAGAACTTCTTCAGAGGAGGGACTAGCCGATGATACGATGTTGCCTCTGCCCGTCACCGATCTCGTGTGGGAGCTTTCGCTACCAGTGGGGGCTGACCGTGATCACGAGTATTCCAATCCGACAGCTGAGAGGAGTTGCAATTGCAAGGGTTATGATAACATCACAATGGCTTGGATGGAAAGTTATTGTGTTTGGATGTTATGGGGATCCACTCATCGACCGTCAGGTCAATCTGGTGAAATCATTACTGGAAAATGGTGCCCAAGTGGAGGGTCGTTTTCAGGGTGAAGATAAGCATGGGACAGCCCACGAAGGGCAAAGCCCTTGAACTATACAACACAATTAAGAAATTAGTGGTTTTGCAGGACCACTTTGGGTGACAAGCTCTTTCAACAAGTTTTAATGCAGTTGTATGCCTACGACTGGAATACGAGACCATTAGTTAAGTTAGACAAACCTGTTACCAGTTTGACGAAGGGCTTGTTGGAGCCAAATATTTCAAATTATAATTTTCTTCATTTAGGAAATTGATAAAGCCTTCTCTTTTATACGTGAGCGAAATAGGTAGTAGTCAGTGGTGACAGGTATCTAATAATGAGAATTGAGAAGGAAAGGCAAAAGAAGAAGAAGAAGTTCTAATACGAAAATAAAAATGAAAATCTATAGAAGAAAAACTTCAAATCTCTTCTCAGGGAGAAGGAAATAGTTTCAATACCATCCTCTGTAACAAATGTGGCAACTTTCCATGGGAACCAGCCTTTGTTATTTTGAACAAAGAGTTTGTTACGCATATAGGAAGAGTAATCCATAAACGTGGTTCAAGATGTGTGTGTGTGTGTTTAATCCAAAATATTCAGTTAATTACTTGCACTTTATGACTCTAAATCCACTCATTCTGGTCGTAGTTGTTAATTGTGTGAAGAAGTTCTGATGTCAGAATTAACATATCACCTGCAAGTTTCCACAACCATAAAGGAGGACATTGTCGCAATTTTTGTTTAACGTAAGTGTCCTATAGAAGTCAATAATCACCCTTACATTGCTCATTTTGTCTGTTCATCCTTGAGAAATATGGATGTTATCTTTGGAATGGATTTACCAACTCAAAATCAAATTATGATAGAGTGTTCATGAAAGCTTGCGATTTTCACTTACAATCGATCTATCACTCTATACTTAACCACCTCGCTGCCTATATGTATATATAAAAGTAAATAATTATCAGTAAGTCCTAATGACAAGTAAGCAGCTATCATTTGCTTTTCTGTAACTTGTCAATGCATATTACTTTGTTGTCATTGAGATTTTTTAATAATTGTGTTTCTTACATAGGACTTCATAGCAATATCTCCTATAATTATTTAGCGCATGTTTAGCGTATGAAAAATATGCTATGCAAAGGAGTAAGAGGAGAGAGAAAAGTATTATTGTCCGCTGTAACATATTTTCGCATATAAAAGAATACATTAAATTAATATAATTTTTCATATTTGGTCTTATTAAAAAGAGGTATTGAACAAAATTATGATGTATATTTTCTCTCACTTATCTTTTAATTATATTCAATGGGATTAAATTGGAAAAACATAATGAATTATCCTAAAAGAACAGGTTTTTCTCGGACAAATAACATTAGAGGGTTATTATGCAATGGCAAAGCCAGGCTGTCGATTGTAGCTTTTCACCCAAGACTGTCTCATTTAATACTGTTTTCTGCATCCAGTCATGTGCACATACATGAGACAGAATACTAAGAAACAAATTGGATATATTTAAAAAAAAAAAAAAAAACTCCTTCCATGTTTCCTGCATCTAATCATGTGCAGGATCAATATATAATTGCTCTTCATATGTTGACCTTCGATGAAAACACTAAAACACTCCGTTCAGGATCACTGTGTTTTCTCTCATGTCACTCTTCTCTTTCCCACCCCACAAGTTCTTCTCTCCGGCTACCATCTTCTTCTTTTTCTTGTTTCTCTCCGTCGCATATTCCACCGCCATGGATCCCTACAAATTCCTTCACATCATCCTCAATCCAGACGGCACCCTCACTCGCTTGGAAAAACACCCTGAATCTCCTGCCTCACCTGATCCCAACTCTCACCTGCCTGTTCTCTCCAAAGATCTCACCATTAATCCTTCACTTGACACCTGGGCTCGCATCTACCTTCCCCGTCAAGCTCTGAACCATCCTCACGATTCTTCCATCACCAAGCTACCCCTCATCGTGTTCTATCATGGCGGCGGCTTCCTGTTCTACAGCGCTAACTCCACTTATTTCCACGACTTCTGTGTTTATTTGGTTCAAAGCACACAAACCGTCGTCGTTTCGGTGAACTATCGCCTTGCTCCGGAGCACAGGCTGCCGGCGGCTTATGACGATGCTTTGGAGGCGTTGCACTGGATCCGAACCTCCGACGACCAGTGGTTGACACGTTTCGCTGATCATTCCAACTGCTATCTGATGGGAGAGAGCGCGGGGGGTAATATCGCCTACAATGCGGGCCTACGTGCAGCCGAGGAAGTGGATCGACTTGAACCATTGAAGATCAAAGGGCTTATATTGGTTCAACCATTCTTCGGTGGAGTCAAAAGAACTTCTTCAGAACAGAGGCTCGAAAATGACACGAATTTGCCTCTGCCCGCCACCGATCTCATGTGGGAGCTTTCGCTGCCGCAGGGGGCCGACCGTGACCACGAGTATTCCAATCCGACGACTGAGAAGGGTTCTAAGGGTTTTGATGATATCAAACGGCGTGGATGGAAAGTTATCGTTTTTGGTTGTTATGGGGACCCACTCATCGACCGGCAGATCAATCTGGTGAAATCATTACAAGAAAATGGCGCTCAAGTGGAGGGTCACTTTCAGGGTGAAGATAAGCACGGAGTGTTTGTTGGCCAGCCTACAAAAGGCAGAGCCCTTGAGCTATACGACACAATTAAGAAATTAGTGGCTTAGGATTTTAATTTTTTTAATTTTTTTTAATTTTGATTATTTAGATTCCGTATGCTAATAATTCTAACAATCCCTTTTGGTCATTTTCGTTTCTTAAGATGTCAATGGTATTTGTTTGAGTGGAAGCAGAGAGGTTTTATAATGGAAGAAGACCAAGGTCTTGATCCTTATAAGCACCTTAAGATAGCTCCCAATCATGATGGCACCATCACGCGCCTGCGCGTGGACCCACCCACTTCACCGGCGTCAGATCCTAACCTTCCGATTTCTGTTCTGACCAAAGATATCATCATCATCCCTGAATTTAACGTCTCTGCTCGAATCTTCGTGCCTCGGAAAGCACTGGATAATTCCTCCCCAAAGCTACCTCTTATTTTGTACTTCCATGGTGGCGGCTTCATCTTATTCAGTGCAGCCTCGTCCATGTTTCATGATTTCTGCATAAACATGGCCAACGACGTCCAAGCCATCGTATTGTCGTTAGATTATCGTCTTGCGCCTGATCATCGGTTGCCGGCGGCGTACGACGACGCCATGCAAGCGTTGCACTGGATCCAAACCAACCACGACGACTGGCTCGGGAAGTATGCTGATTTATCTTCTTCTTACCTTATGGGCAGTAGCTCGGGAGCAAATATAGCGTACCACGCGGGTCTACGTGTAGTTGCGGAATCGGAAGGTTACGATGAACCGTTGAAGATCAGAGGGTTGATATTGGTGCAGCCATTTGTCGGTGGGATGGAAAGGCGTGGATCTGAATTGAGGCTGGTGAATGATCCGGTGCTGCCGCTGTGTGTGACTGACCTGATGTGGGAGTTGTCGCTGCCCGTTGGATCGAACCGTGATCATGAGTATTGCAATCCGATGGCTGGAAGAGATGATGAGGAGAAGAAGAAGAAGATGCAGAAGATGAGGGTGTTGGGATGGAGGGTGATGGTGATTGGGTGTGAGGGGGACCCACTGGTGGACCGTCAGAAAGAAATGGTGACATGGATGGAGGAAAATGGTGTAAAAGTGGAGGTCAGTTTCGAAGATGGATATAATCACGGGGCTGAACTTCGTAATGCTCTTAAACAAAAGGAGCTCTTCTCAAAGACCAAGACTTTTGTTGGCTCTTAGCTATCTGCTGCTTAGACTGATTAATGGGATTTAAATAATACTACTTCCGGTTCTAATTATAAGAACCAGTTGACTAATTTGAAGAGATTAAGGAAGTAAGTTGAGTTAGTTATTTGTCTTAAATAGGTGTTGTCTTTCCTAAAATATCCTTGTTAATTAAGTATATTGATTAGAACTATCATTGTTAGAAGGGTTACTTTAAAAAAAAATGTATAAATATGAGAGACAAAGTGGATTGAGGTCTTATATTTAGAATCAAAATAAAAGTCAAACAGGGTCTTATATTAAGGACCGGAGGTAGTACTTGAATGAATGGGTTCAATTCAGTGACTTATTTGTATGTGTTCTTCTTATTATATGGGAAGACCTTTCTTTGTGTTTTCCACCCACTAGAGATATCGAAAGTGGGATTTCTTATTATTATCTAGAGATAATTTAAGTCATATTTTTAATTGATTTTTGACCACAGGTGAGGCGTAATTATATTTATTGTAATTCACATATTTGTTATATAATGTAATAAATATTAAGGATATTTTTAATAGTAATACCCAATCACCCGTACAAATAGCTAACTTTTTCATTAATTGAGCTAAAGATTTATGCTTTCTTTGTTCCGATTATTTTTTTTAGTTGAAGGTTTTGGCAAGGCAAGCGGAGCTTCCCATTTGTTGAAACTGACAGCAACGAGGATACTTTTTTGTCCTCCTTGCACGATGTCAAACCCTTAAAGGTGTGTTTAGATTAGTGATAACAAAACTACTTTTTTATTTTATTTGATTTTTATAGATACGAGTGGAGTAAAACTCTGTTAGTATAATGTGATTTATATATAGATTGGTATTTATAAAAAAATCAGTTTAAAAAGTTAAAATTTGTTTAAATGATTGATAGACAAATAAGTTTAGTTATAAAATAACTAAAAAAATATATAAATTTTATTGAATAGTAGTATTTGATATTATATATTTTTAATGTGATAATAGTTTAAAAAAACACCTAAAATTATTATAATAAGATAAAAATAGTGTTTTGGGTGAAATTATAAAATAAAAATATTTATTAGTGAAAAATTTATGAAAATACATTCTAGATAATTAAATATACATAATGGATAAACACGAATATAAATTAAAATTCATTAATATGTTTATTTTTGAAGTAAATGAAATTACATAACTAATTAGATCGTAAGTTTTGTATAGTTTAGTTTCCGATTGAGTCATGAACACAATTCATTTATGTGATAGATATTAAACTTGACGAGGACACCTTACCAGCTACATAATTATTATTTTCATGTATTACACTTCCATGTTCAACTTATATAAAGTGATCATTAGTTGGAGAATTTTGCCTGGTAAAACTATGCACAACCATTATTTACAAATTATGCAAACTTATGTTTAAAACTTGAATTTGGACATACTCCTCCGGTCCTTATTATAAGACCCCATTTGACTTTTTATTTGGTCCTAATTATAGGACCCCAATCCATTTTATCTCTTATATTTATGCATTTTTTTCCAAGATAATCCTTCTAATAATGATAGTTTTAGCCAATATACTTAATTAGCAAGGATATTTTAGGAATGACAACACTTATTTATTATAAATAACCAACTTAACTTACTTCCTTAATCTCCTCAAATAAGTCAATTGGGTCTTATAATTAGGACCGGAGGAGTATCTTAACATTACTAACCTATTCTTCCAAACTCCATAAGTTCTTTTAATAGAGCATCTCAAACTTGAATGATAACAATTATAAACGCCTCATTCTCATTTCCAAATCTTAGTTGATGACTAAAGTCTGGAAGGTGATAGTGTTCACGTTTGTACAAGCCAAAGTATCCTATTGGTGTTGAATAACCAGCATCAACCAAATAATATTTACCTAAGACATTATAATTTATTACGTTGATGTGAAAATAACACAGTTGAAAAGTGATTTAAAAATAATTGATTTGAAATTTAAAGAAATATACATTGAGGTGGATGGGGGAAGTTCATGGATGATTGGTAAACCCATTAGAAAAACTCCTATGATACTCACATCCCAATGTGCTTTGTCTTTATTGTTACTTACAATTCTACGTGAAATTACATATATATCAAACTCAAAAGCAAAGTTTATGAGACACACAGAACTATATTCCCAACAGTTTAGTATTTATAGTTCAAAAATTAACAAATATCTATATTCACACACAGACAAAATCACATAATGAAGTTTATAAATAGCCGTAATTTCAACAGCCTCTCTCTCTCTCTTAGATCTTAGTTTCATTTTTTTTTCAATAAAAAGCTATTATTTGATCTAAAAATTTAAGTTTCTCTAAACATGCATGCTCACATATACACACGTATGTGTGTGTCCGCATATAATCATTGAACATAGTATATGAATTTTTAAAGTATTAATGGCGAAAATATAACTAACATTTCAAGTTTTGCATAATATTGCAAATTACATATCAATGTCATTTCAATGGACTTAAATAAATACTACCTTCCATTCTAATTATAGGACCTTATTTGTTGACTATAAATAGGGTCCTATAATTGAGATCGGAGGTAGTATTAAAGAAGCTTTACTCTACAGATTGAACGGGACGAAAGGTTTAACAGAAGTTCAAGTATTCATAAATTTTATAATATGAAACAAATATTATATTCAGCTTGTATATCTCATAAGCAGAAAATTAAATAATAATTATTTCGGTTTGTAGTTAAGAAACTTAAACTAGTCACGTGCCATTGTCAACCATAGAAAGCTGCCTTCGCAATGATGAGAGGGAAATAACAAAGAAGCACATCACTGATGCAATTTTAAGTTTTTAACAAGGCTTGTATTATTGAAAGACAAAGGAGACGGGTCAGAAACAAACTATTCTTTTGAGAGTCTATGAACCAAGTCATTGAGTCAATGAAAAAAGAGTATCGTGAACGCAATACGACACTTCAGGAATGAACAGCAAATTATAATGTACTAGAGCCCTGTTTAGTTCAGAATCAAGCAGTATAAGGGGCAAAATATCACTGAAGCAAAATCCCACTAAAACCCTCTTATTTTTTTCCCAGTAATAATTGTTATATTGCTTCTTTTTGTAAATGAAAAGAAAGGTTACCCACAAAGTATGAACTAAACAAAGGAGTGTTTATGAAAACAAGATAAGGATTCTTAATATAGAGCAAAAGGACAAATAAGAAATGTACAGCATCCAATGTAATACTGATAAATGCAGTCCAATGCATAAAACGTTACATAAGCCATTAAATGTTCATGTACGCACTCTTTGAAGACACAAATGACTTCCCAGATATGTTTAGTTCCATTATAGAACAATTATTACACACTCCAGCAGACATGAAACTCTAAAATATTAGCTGAAAAGAGAGCCTACCTTTCTCGGATTAAGGGTATGTTTGGATTGACGTTGGGCAAAACTGACTTCTAATCCAACTGACTTTTGTAACTAAAGTTAGAGTAAAAATCAGTTATGGTATGTTTGGATAGGTACTTTTAAAAGTCAGTTGGAAAAGTTAAAAGTTGTTTGGATGAATAAAAAAGTTAGTTCAGTTGTAAAATGACTGAAAAGGACATATACTTTATTGAATAATAGTGTTTGATATTTTTAATGTGATAATTATTAAAAAAAATCTAAAATTATTATGATAAAATAAAAATAGTTTATTTGTGAGATTATAAAATAAAAATATTTGTTACCGAGAAAAATTTAAAAACACATTTTAGATAATTAATTAAATATATATAATGAACAAACATGAACATAAATTAAAATTCATTTCGTCTCTAATTAGAGTAAATAAAATTACATAATTAACTAACAAAAAATTCAACTGTTTGTCTTATTAAAGGAAAAATCCACCGTTTATCTTGTTATCAGAAAAAAGTGATGGGATGACAATTTTTTGGATTGTCCAATAATTGCTTCAATCGTCTAGTTCCAGTCTAAAGCAATTAATATTCAAGGGCTGCGTTTCTTTGTTGAGAGTTCTCTCAAGTTCATGTTAATTGTTTCCGTAGACCAGATATTTGTGGAAAAGGTGAGATGATGAAGAAATATGTGTGTGCTACCAAGTAAAGCAATTCAGTAACTACTTGTGTGCTTTCTGCAGAAGGAACTTCTGTGCATATTTACAGCAAATTATTGTGTGTGTAACTCATCAGTCCTGAAAATGCTATAGAGAAATGCGTAACCTGTTCCCAAGTTTAGTCTCAATTATCTTTAATACAACTTGTATGTACACCAGCGATATTTACAAAGTCAAATGACTCTCACTCGGGAGAATAATAATCTCCAAACCCAATCGTCAAAGATGCTAGTCTATAAAGCGAAAAGCACGTCATACTAAAATCAATCAATCATCACATTCAAACAGAATAATTGATTGTCATGGGAGGCAAGTATTATTTTAAACACAAATCATGGGCCTAGTCCCAGTGAAGAGGATAATTAGAAACACTGCTTGGAGACTTTCTGAATGGTTTCTTGATATTGTTTATGAGAAGCTTCTGCATACTGACGACTATATTCCATCTCTTCTTTTCGATCTCAAGTTCCTTCTCAAGCATGTGAAATTCATATTTGAGGAAAGCATTTTCCTTCATTGTGGAATCTAATCTATCAACTAGGGTACTGTATTCTTCATCAATCTGACGTTTACGATTTAGCAGGTCTCCAATGGATTTCTCTTTGGCTAGAAGAGCATTAGCTAGACTAGCATTCTCGACGGCTAAAGCAGCCACGAGGATTTAGGAGAAACCATCACAGTATAAGAGGAAATAAGCATGAGGCTCAGATTGCCAAAGCTCGTACCTGAACAACGTTAGCTTCCAAGTGAATCAAAGAGGCAGTTTCAAGGTTCATCTACCTGTCATTATTTCTGGTCTGAAGCACGAACAGAGACGCCAGAGAGATCGACGGATGGAGACGCAGCCGAGACCGAGACCGATGGACAGAGGAGACGCCGGCGAGAGCTACAAATGGAGAGTGCGCGAGAGCGACGGAGGTGAACACGGCCGAATGCTACGCACGGGTTCTCTGTTTTGGTTTGAAGAGAGGCTTGAGCTCGGTGCAGATAGGTGAGAGAATACTCATTAAATGCTTATTTGACGGTATGTTATATTTTGCAACGGTGAAAAGCTACTTCCCATAGCGTTGAAGAATAAGCCGCTTTTTTTTAGAAGTCAGATGTAAAAGCTATCTATCCAAACAATCAATTTATTTTCAAAAAACCCCAACTGACTTATTCCATTTTCCAAGGCACGTTTGGATCTCAAAACGGAGATCCAAACATACCCTAAAGCTTTATGAGAGGAAAAAGAAATTTTGGGAAGAGGAACTAGATTCGAAGCCCTGAGTTATCATGCTTCCGCTACATGTGAGAAGCAGTCTGAAGCACACATAACGTAATGAGATGTAAATTTGTAAAAGCCAA